TTTGTGAAGGCCTTGCTCCTCTTTAGAAAGAGAAGCATGCTGAGGAAACTCTGAAGCTGCCTGGCCAAAGCTGCCTGGCCAAAGCTGAGCCCTGAGAAGGCACCAATCCCGCTGGGGCCCTCGTGTGAGTTTTTTTAGACACCAGTTTCTTCCACCAGCCATATGAAGATAAAATCACCTCCTTGCCTGGCAGGGTGGGGGCAAGTTAATTAGAGAGAACTGTCTGCCTCTTTGAAGGCACAAGGCACTGGATGGGAAACTGATGGGATTTCTCCAGCTCCCATTGTGTCAGCACTGCCCGGGAAGCGTCATCCGTGCTTCCCACTGCTGCCCCTCAGCATGGCCCTGTGGTGGCAGCCCCCAGCATGGAGCATGAGCTGAGGATGCTGCCCCAGCACCACCTCTGTGCCCCTTGACTGGCAGCACGCTACGAGGACGGATGTCCAGCACCAGCCCACCCAGCAAGCCGCCCCCGAGGGTGCCGTGACACCCAAGGGAGGGCTCTGCTCCACTGGACACCGGCTGCTCTTCTAATCATAGCAGCGGGCGCAGGAAGCGCCGGGGCCGCAGGAAGCGGGGTGTGCCTCTCTCGGTGACTGAAAAACAACCGCGGCAGAGCTGTGCCCACAGCACCACAGCCCCTGCTCCAGGGGTGCTCCCGGGCTTCGGCACCCTGAGCAGCACAGGCATCACCCTCGGTGCCCCAAGGGAATCCAGCCCTGCCTATGCGTGGACCTTCCCCAGTATTCACACGGCCCTGGCATCACCTGTGCTCCCAGCCCCGAGCCCTGCCAGGGCACACCCACTGCAGGATGGGGTGCTGCTCCCCTTCAGAGAGGCAGGAGGACAGCACGGGTGGCATGTGGTTTCCATTAAAGGGTGGTAAGGACCCTTCTTCCTGAGCAGGTCATGCTGTCCCCTGCTCTGCCAACTTGTCTCAGGCTGTCCCTGCTCTTGGCAAGAGGCAGCCATCCACACTTGCTGCTGGCCAGACCTGGCTGATGGCTGCTGGGGCTGGGGGCCAGGGCACCCTGCCTGCCACCACTGATGGCCCGTGAGGCTCAGGAGCTGCTCAATCTTTCCGCTACATGGAAAAACCTGACAGTTCAGCATTTCCTCTGTCCTGGTTTGGAACAAAGAGTCAACACTTTGACATGTAGCGTAGTTATAGAGACTCTGAAATACTTTGTTTTGGAAGATACTGAAATGCTGGTTTGCAGTGTTTCACTTTGTGTCACTTCAGCTGCTGCAACACAAGAAGTTCTATTGCTATCTAGGGGGAGAAAACCTGACGTGTTCATACACTGACAAAATCAGTACATTCCCATGAATTATTTTGGTCCTGTCATATCAACTTTCCCCAGCACCTTTTCGCACCACTCTCCCCAACCAGAGATCCACATCAGCTCCAATTCAAGCTGCTGGGCACAAAAGCCATCCCTGAAGTGGGGCTGCTCCCTGCAGAGTTTCACTCTCTCCCATCAGAGAGACCCTTCCATCCCTCTACACTGCTCAGGGCAGCCAGCACGGGCAGCCTGGCAGCTCCCTCCAGCAGAGGTATTGGACAGCTGCCTGCCTGTCTGCACCTCAGAGACACCGCACACCCCTGAACCTACGGGCTCGTGGTGGGGTGTAACCACGGGCTCCAGTGCAGGCTGGAGTGGCCAGGGCAGAGGGATGGAGTGTGGCAGGGAGTGGGGTCTGCCGAGGGCCAAGTGCAGCACTCACTGTGCTGCCGGCTCTGGGCCGCAGGGCAGAGATGGTATCTCACAGATTTTCTCACGCCTCGCTCTGGATTTCCATGCATGCACGAAGGCAGGTGATGCTTGGTAGCTGCTAGAATATTGCATAAATAGAGAGCAGGCTGCTGCACTCCCCTGGGGCTACAGCACCATGCAGATAACCCCCAGCATGCAAGTCCTACACATCATGGGTGCTGCCGGCCTTGCAGGCCAGGTGGGAGCCTTGTGCTCACTGGGAAGCAGGCAGCACACCCTGGCCACACAGGGCACGCTCCCCTCTTACTGTGCTTCAGCTTCTCCCCCTGGCAATGAAATACAGACATCCAACACCACAGGAACAGCCTCAAGCCTGGAGCAGGTGCCCCAAACTTAACTGGGCTGCTCCCTGCTTCCAGACTTCACCCAAAGGCTGTGGCACAGCTCCTCAGCCCAGCACAGAACTCAGAGCTTTTTGTGTGGGAATTGGTGTCACAGATCACCATGATTTATAATGTGCTCTTCAGCTGCTGAAGCATGTGGCAGTCATCTGTGCCCAGAACTGAAGCAGTTGCCACGTAGCAGGAAAGAGATGGTCCTGAATTAACTGGGCCCATTAGTGAAGCAAAGAAAGCTACAATGGTCTGGCACACAGACTGGTGAGCAAGCATGGCGAGGAACTGAGCCAAGAGAGATTCCATTCTCGAGCTGGCACGCGACCACAAGATACCTTCCTTGCTGCTGCACTTCAAGTGGTGCAGAAGCAGGTATTCTGGGGTGCTGCTGCTCCCCAGCCACAATCTGGAACCCCCAGTGAGTCTCTGAGATCCTGATAAGGAAAACTCCAGAACCTGAGAATGCAATATAGAAATGGCAATGCTGCTGCCTTGCATCTGGGGAGGCTGTGAGGAGGGCAAAAGGGTCAGATCTCCTCCTCACCTTACCACTGGGGTTTGCAGACAAATAAGCCCAAGGGCTGCTGGAAAGCTATGGGGCTCAGCAACCTGCACAAGCCATGCTGTGAAAACTTGAAGTCTACATTCCTGAACATAGATCACTTCAATCAGGATGGCAGAGCCCAGCATGACTCTGCAAACAGCTCTGTGGGCATCATTACCAGAAGTGTATGTGTGCCAGCACCAGCCCCCCTAACTCTAATCTCCCTCCAGAGGCAGCACTGCAGGAAGATATGTGGGTCTCCTTGCTTGCTCCCTCCCACCTGGAGCAAACACCTGCCTGCTGAGCCACCAGCCAAAGGCTCAGAACAGGTTTCCCTGCCCACAGCTGGAGGCAGGCAGGTTTTGGCAAAGCAACTCCCTCGTATGGAGAGACTGCCATGCCCACACATCTCCGAGGAGAAGACGGGGCTGCTCTCAGCCCTGCAGCTCACAGGCACTGCTCAGGCAGGTGAGCATGGGGCAGGTGTTGGTCCAATGTTGGTCCAAGGAGCTGTGGTTCTGCAGGACACCTTGAGGAAGGAGGCAGATATTTGGGCACTTTGGGAGTGCCACACCATGCATGGGTATCAGATGTTACCTCAAGCCATCGGATTTATTTTATGCGCACAGGAGCATCTTCTGTTTTCACCTTGCAAGACAAAGAAGACAAAAGAAAAATACATTGAATGCTACTTGGAGTAGCATTGGAATCAGCTGAATCAGTCTTTCTCTCCCTGGGATGGTCTTGCAGGCTGGCAGGAGCTGTTTGCCACAGGCTGCAGCATAGCACACAGCCCCTCCTGCCCCCCACACCAACAACACCATGAGGGCTCCCAGTGGGTGCCTGACACCCAGCCTGCATCAGGGCTCAGAGCAGAGATCCCCCAGCTGGGCGGGCTGCTGCTGGGCTCTGCAGTCAGGGCAGACCTCAGCTCCTCACCTGCCCTCCTGTGAGGTCCCAGTGTGATTTTGTTGAAGAGGCAGAGGGTTTGGTTCAGCACAGTGCTGAGCCCAGATGTGCATCTCAGTGGGTGCTGGGCTTCACGTCGAGGGGCCTGGCAGTTCAACAGCACTGATGGGTGCACACCCAGCCCATGCAGCTCTCAAACTGAAGTTTTCTCACTGGAAAATAGGAGCAATAACACATTCACTTCTCAAGGCAAGCAGCAACCTTCTTAACACTATCAAACTACTATGCTGGAGCTGCTGAAGACAGGAACTGCAGCATGTTACCGACCCACACCTACCACTGGCCTCTGGAAACCATGGCTGAAGCCAGGCGTCCCCTGGGACCAGCTGTGGCTGAGCAGTCTCAAGGGATGGTGCTGACCACGCTGCCCTCCAGTGAGGGAGATTTTGGAAATACAAGCAAATGGGCTTAATAGTTTGATGCTGCAGTTACTTGCAATGGTTTGTGGTTACTTGCAATTCCCAAATAATCTGCTAGATGGCATTATGTAATAATAGTAATAATAATAATAGTAACAACAACAACGATAATTACATACTGGTTTAATTGATCCAAGCTCTAGAAATTATTTAGGCAGGTGTTTACATATTTTACTGCACGAGTACGTACTGCCCACCTTTTGTATTTATCCAAACCCTGATGAAGTGGCATTATCTGCAATGCTAGAATTTCTATTCTTTTTTGGCAAGGATCTGACACATGACACAAGAAGCTCTACTAACAACACAGAAACCAAGTTTCTCATTCTGTCTGTGAGTGTACTCAGCAACCCCAACAAGAAATTACAAGACAGCTTCTTGTTTCTCGGCTGCTGCATACAAATAAAGAGCAAAGGATTACTCATACATAATAACTAGTGTTTGCTGCAGGCGCTTCAGGTCTCAGAGCTGGACTAACCAAACCGAAGGAAAGATCGTGTTGCAAGAGCGGGATTTGTCCACGGCACACCCTGGCCGTGCAGGCGGCTGAGGCTGGGGCTCTGCCGGCCCTGGGATCTCTCAGAGCGTGGGGGTCCAGCAGTAGCCCTGGGATTTTTATCAGTTTAAGGGGATTTGGGGCAGACGGATGCCCTGCGGTGCCCTCTCCATTCTCCCCGCCGGTGCTGACGAAGCTGCAGGAGAGCGCTGTGGCACCCACCCACCCTCCGTGGCGAGCGAGCCGGGGCGGGACGGGGCGCACGGGGGTCCCCCTCTTCCGCGCCCGCGGCAGCACCGGCGAGCGCTCCCCGCTGGAGGCCGCGCTCCGCTGCGAGCGGGAGGGGATAGGGGCCGTCCGGCCGGGCTGGCACCGCCCCGTGCCCGCCCCGCGGCGCGGCGGGGCCGGGGCTGGGGCCGGGGCCGGGGCGCCGCGGCGGGCGGCGCAGAGCGGCGGCGGCGGGCGGGCGGCGAGCAGCGCGCCGCCGGCTCGGCGGGCCCGGGCAGCGGGCGCTCCGCCCTCGGTGCGCGGGGCCTCCCCTCTCCGCGCCCGCGGAGCGCGGCGCCCGCCTATATCTACGGCCGCGGCGGCCCGGCGCCCGCAAGGATGTGAGGCGGGCGGGCAGCCCAGCCGCCGCCGCCGTGGCATGCCCCCCCGCGCCCGGAGCCGTCGGCGCGGCGCCTAGCCGCGGCTCCGCGGGGCCATGCTGCCCTGGAAGCGGAGCAAGGTGGAGCTGGCGGCGGGCGAGGCGCGGCGGCAGAGCAAGCCCAAGGGGTACGCGGTGAGCGTGCATTACTCGGCCCTCACCTCGCTGGCCCGCGCCTGCCCCGAGAGCGCCCTGCACCGCGTGGGCAGCATGTTCCGCTCCAAGCGGCGGAAATTTCGCGTTACCAGCGAAGATCCCACGTATACTGTGCTCTACCTGGGCAACGCCACCACCATCCAGTCCAAGGGTGAGGGCTGCACCGACCTGGCCGTCTGCAAGATTTGGAGCAAGAGCGAGGCGGGCCGGCAGGGCACCAAGATGAAGCTGACCATCAGCGCGCAGGGCATCCGCATGGCCCACGCCGAGGACAAGGGGCTGCGCCGGCCCGGCCACCTCTACCTGCTGCACCGGGTCACCTACTGCGTGGCGGACCCGCGCCTGCCCCGTGTCTTCGCCTGGATCTACCGCCACGAGCTGAAGCACAAGGCGGTGATGCTGCGCTGCCACGCCGTGCTGGTCTCCAAGCCCGAGAAGGCGAAGGCCATGGCCCTGCTGCTCTACCAGACTTCGGCCACGGCACTGGCCGAATTCCGCCGGCTGAAGAAGCGGGACGACGCGCGGCACCAGCAGCAGCAGCTGGTGGGCGAGCAGAGCATCCCGCTGGTGCCGCTGCGCAAGCTGCTCAACGGGCAGTGCTGCTACAAGCCGCCGGTAGAGCGGAGCCGCAGCGCGCCCAAGCTGGGCTCCATCACGGAGGACCTACTGGGCGAGGAGCAGGAAGAGCGGGCCATGCACTGCGACTGCGAAGACATCCTGGAAGCGCTGGGCGAGCCCGAGGGCGAGCTGCTGCGCCCCAGCACCGGCCGCGGCGAGAGCCCAGAGCTGGGCCAGCTCCTCCGCGACCTGGGCGAGCTCAGCCTGGGCAACGATCTGCGCTCGCTGCGCGCCGACCTGCGCGTCCGCCGCCTGCTTTCTGGGGAAAGCACGGGCAGCGAGTCCTCCCTGGAGAGCGGCGGCACGGACGGGGCCGCCCCGCCCGGCAGCGACGCCGAGCAGCCGCCCCCCGGCGACCCCGAGACCGGCTGAGCACTCGAGCCCATACGGGCGTGCGCGGTGCCGCCGGGGCGCACCGGGTTCCCTCCGGGAATGCACGGCCCCGCCGGGGTGCACCAGTTCCTTATGACCCCTCTGGGAATTCCCGGTCCCTGCCGGGAGTGCACGGCCCCAGCGGGGCGCACCGGCTTCCCTCCGGGAGTGCACGGTCCCTTCCGGGCTGAGCGGCGCCGCAGGGGCGCACCGGGTTCCCTCCGGGAATGCGCGGCCCCGCCGGGGCGCACCGGGTTCCTTCCGGCCTCTGCTGGAATGCACGGTCCCTTCCGGGCGTGCACGGCCCCACCGGGGCGCACCGGACCCCTCCGGCCCCGCCAAGGCCCCTCGGGAAATTCGCGGTCCCGCCGGTTCCCCGCGGTGCCCCCGCGTCCCGCAGCATCCCGGGGAGCGGCCGCCCCTCCCGTGCCGGTGCCGGTGGTCGCCGGAGCCGGACCCCAACTCGCTGCGGCCCGAGGAGGGGAGGCGGCCGCGGGCTGTTTACCTCCGGCTCAGCCCTTGAAGATCTGCCAAATTCCTGGAATAGCTTTCCCCGGGGAGGGCGGCGGGAGGGAGGTGTTGCGCCTTGTTTACAGTCAGAAATCTCATATCGAGAGCCCCCCCCCGCCGTTTTCTCCATTAAAGTCACTCCATCGTGCTGTCGTGTCCAAGAGGTTTGCACTGTTGTGAAGTTCGGGGTTTTTTATTGTTTTTAAGTTAAACCCTTTTTTTTTCGGCCCCGGTCCTGTCCCCGGTCTCAATGCTCTAGATCTTTTGCTGTGCAAAAGAAGACTACTTGTGGCTGTTCACCTGTACATAGGGAAATGTATGCAAATACATTTTGTTATTTTTAAGAACACCACCATTGCGATCTCCTCTGTTTGCACATATGTGAAGAAAATAAAGATGATGGTAACTTAAATGGGGTCACTGTGGCAATTTGGTTGTGTGTGTATTCCTGTAAGGAGCTGGGGGTGGAGAGATCCCTTGGGAAGTGTAGGTGCGGAAGAGCACTGCACGAAAAAGCTGTTACAAGCATCAAGCATGATTCCCATGCTCGCTGGAAATGCTACACTACAGGGAAACACACTGGGCACTTCAGGACTCTAAAAAGACACAGGGATGAGGTTTCCTCTCTGCATCCTCTAACAATGGGCAGGAAAGTACGAGAAATCTCTCGTCAGGGCGCTGTGGCTGGATCCTAGTCTGGAAAACAACTGCAGGGCCCTGAGACTGCCCTGAGGCACGGTGCCCCTCGCCTGGGCACCGGGGATACTGCACAGTGTTAATGCCTCTGCATCCAGGTGCTGCCGCTGGTCCCTCGCTGCTCACCGTGCAAGCCTGCAACAATTTTTAACCTCACTCAGGGTAAGCAGTGAAGTTGATTGGCCACGGGACTGCCACGGTATTTTTAGCTGTAAATCTGTTTGTAAGTGGCAGGCTCCCAGGGCAGGAGAGATGTTCCGGTTTCATTTGTCCCCAAGTGGAGGTATCAATTAAGAGATAATTAATCCGGCATTTTTTATGTCTAAATGTTTTCCACTGTGCCTGTGCTGCAATCGCTGGAGTTGCAGGAATGTCAATGAAAAGCCCAACCAGCTGCCAGGGCCAGGCCACACTCCTTGTGTAAGGAGCTCGCCTCGGAACTTGTAAATACCTCATTAAAATCTATTGCAAAATCTGCCACCGCACCAGCGAGACCATTGTCTCAGTATGAGTCAGTCAGAGGAGGAAGGCGCTGTGGTGTGGCTTTCATGGGAAGGGGTAATGGGGAGAGGGGGAATCCTCTCAGAGTGGGCACCTTCTTGCCCAGGCACCTTCTTGCCTTGTGATGGGCAGTGAGGTGCAGCAGGTGTGAGATTTGAGCAGTGTGTGCTCAGGCCAGCACTGCAGAGACACACCTTGCTAAAGAAATACTGTCTTGCTGCTTTTTCTCAGACAAAGCTCCTTTCTCCTTTCCTAGGGAGGGAAGGGGCACAAAACACCATGGAGAGCTTATCCCAAAGTGCTTTCCCAAGATGGGGTTTGCCAAAAGTGCCCTGGGCTGAGCTGAGCGCCCCAGGTCTGTGCCCAGAGCTCTCTGTCACTGCCTGCTCTCTCCCGGGGCAGAGGGAGCAGGCAGTGCTTGGGGCAGGAAGCAATACGCACCTGGGGAGCAGAGAGGGCAGAGGGGGAGTCAGGGGGGTTTGTTAACTAACCCTGGGTGCTGAATGACAGGGTGGTGTTTGCTTTACATCCTCCGTGTGTGCTTAAAGGTGGTTAATGGCCTGAGCTTAGTCAATGCCTTTCCTCTCTCCAGAAGAGCCATCATGTCTGCAACAGTGAGAAAAGGTTTTTATCGCATGCCAGAGCTAAAAGCACAATTCCCTGAGCAGCAGTAGCAGCAGCCAGGGCCTGAAGCATTTCCCCTTGAAGCCATTAGCAGGGCTACTGTGCGGTTTCCTTAGAGGCCTGCACAGATCGTTAGTTGTAGACTCCAAATCCCTTTGTGCCTGGGATATTTTGGTACTAGAACCATAGAAAGAAATGTCATATGTATGTCTGCAGTGCTGGTATGAGGTTATTCATGTGTGCTTAGCTGCCCTCCCTCCCCATAGCAGCATGCCTGGGCCTGCAAATGAGAGCAAGTGCATGTGAGGAGAAAAAGGTCATTTTATTTTTCACACAGCAAGTTTGAAGGAACATCTTCCTAGAAAAAGGAGAGGAGGAGAGAGCGAGACCTTCTCTCTAGTAGATTTGAGTAAAAGGCTGAGCTGCTGCTGCTTTTTCCTTTTAAACAAGTAGCTGCTTGCTAAACTGAAAAGCCTACTGCTGAAAGATGGGCTGGTGTGGGGAGGTGTAGCAGGGCTTTGGGAAAGGCCTGTACCCATATATAGAGGACAAATTGATTTATAGTCTCTGCTGGGTGACAGGGCTGATGCCAGTCCCCGTGCCAGGGCTGCTGCCCACTGACAGTGTCCCACCAGTCATGGCAGTGCCCCTGCTCGGGCTGTCAGCAGAGACACGTTCCCTGTCGATCGGCTCCATCCATCAGCACTAAGTCAGCCTTGCAGCTGGGGATGGTGAATCAGCCCCTGACGCAGCGGAGGCGGGAGGGCTGCGCCAAGAGCAGCGCAGACTCTGCAACTGCTCCCCAACAGCCAGCACCCCCTTCCCACCACTGCTTTCCTAGGGACAGGCAGGCAAAGGGAGAGCAAAGGCAGCCTGATAGCTCTGACAGTCGGTTTGAATTGTGGGGGAAGAAGTCAAATGTGGGAACAAGTGCTTGCAGAATTGCATGCATTGCTATCTGCCCCTGGTGCAAATCACTGCCCTGCCCAGGCTCGGTGGTTTCCAGCACAGCAAGGTTGAACACTGAGCTTCACACATCTCTGACCTAGCAGGCAGCATGTGATAAATTGGCCAGAAAATACCTATAACAGCACTAGGAAAGGCAATGATTCTGCTCTGAGCCTGATGCACAGAATCAACGCTTTGGCAAGTCAGCTTAGGTGCTTCACCAAGTGCCTGAGGTTCCCCAAGTCTGTTATGGCTAAATAGAACATATTATTATTTCAGGCAACAATGATGCCTCCAGAATATGAATAAATTAAGTGGAAAAGAGCCCTTTTTGCTAATACTATTTATTGATTACATATTTGCTGGTGTACTACAGATTTTCTCCTGAAAAATGAGGCTGAGGGGAGACCATACAAATGTGTTGGCAGGATCCCATGTACAACTTCTTGTTTATCTCTGCCCTTAGCATGCCCTTCTCCCATCTTTAGGTCTTCCTCATCCACAACAGGAAAAAATATCATGTGCAACCAGAAAAATTAGCCATTGGTCAAGTGGAATGAACCAAGTCATAAAATGACTTTTAGCCCAGACTGTACTACTGATGTAGATCCAGAATTATTTGCAGTTTAGTTTGGAGATGTGCCTTGCACGGGGCACATCCAATTTGCCTGAACAGGGGACATGATGTGGGAACTGCTGGCTGAGGGGCTGCTTTGGACTCCTGCATGTGAAATCTTGTTGAGTGGCACCAGGTCAGTGGTAAAAACCTCTTCCTTTTTTGGGGGCTACAGGCAGTACTCAGTTATCAAATACAACCCTGGGACAGTTCCAAGTCACCTTCAGCACACACACTGTGACTCTCAGAGAAGCAGGAAGGCGTCAGGATTTCCTCCTTGGCAGTGTGTCGGAGAAGAGCTGCTGACCTGTCCCACTGCTGTTAGTCATTCCCAAGGCATCACAGCCGTCCCATTGCCCAATTATTGGCCATCACACCAAACCCTCTATTATTCAGTGGGGAAAAGCTCCCCAGTTTCAGCCTGCAGGGAAGGCACAGGGCAGACAACCTGCTGTCAGACTGTCCAAGGGGTTGTGGGTGACAGCACTGCACAGCCCCTGTTTTTCTTGGGTGAGGGTGGGCAGGGTCCCGCTGATAATGAAAAAAACTGGTGTGCTGCAAGGAGGGTGCAGTGCCAGCCAGCTATAACCCACCTCCTGCTTCTTCTGGAGCTGGGAAGAAAAAAACCCTTCATTTCCAAGGTCAGCAGCAGCCCCACTCCTGCAGAGCTCATGTGCTGTGAAGGCGTCTCCCCCTCCTCACCCCAGCCCCTGGTAGCAGCAGGGGCTGTTTTCCTCAGCAGCTGGAAGGAGATGATGTGCAAGGACAGGAATGCGAGGGCAGGCAGCCAGGGCAGTGCAGGGACAGCGTGGGGTCCCAGAGGCCAGGCCAGGTCAGTTCATCTGTGGGGCTCAAAGAACCCCACGGAGGAACTGAGCTGACCTGGCCTCTGAGGTTCTGCTTCTCTCCACATCTCCATCACCCACCCCAGACAAGGTGACACCTCCAGCCTGCTGCCTGGTGCCTTGTATAGGGGCCTGAATCTTGGTTAATGCCTGGAAAAGTGCATGAACTGGGGGGGAACAGAACTGTCCGCTGCTACAGCCCAGCAGGAAATCAAAGCCATGCATTCAGAAAACCATGACATTCCCCCTTGCCGGTGGGG